GCAGAAACTATAAGGTTTCTTTTAACTCAGACTCAGAAGTCATGCATAATCATTTCCCCTGCATTCTATTGTTCAAAAGTCAAGCCAGTGTACCAAACACTTGTAGGAAGCATAAACCCACTCAAGTACTTCTTAGTAAGTGAAAACTTGTGTTTCTTGGTAATATACAGCAGTGGGCAAAAGTAGGTTTACAGTTGTGAGTACACAAAACAGTTTATTCTTGTGTTATGAATTATTGTATTATAACTATAAACTACTTTTGACCACCCCTGTATATATTTTAACTAAGTATATCTGATGTTGTGTGAGTGATGTCCATTAATAGAATTACCTTTGTATAAGAAGTATTGGTTAGAACAGTGATGGCAAACCTTTTGAGCTCGGCGTGTCAGCATTTTGAAAAACCCTAACCTAACTCTGGTGCCGTGTCACATATAGAAATTTTTTGATATTTGTAACCATAGTAAAACAAAGATTTATATTTTTGATATTTATTTTATATATTTAAATGCCATTTAACAAAGAAAAATCAACCAAAAAAATGAGTTCGTGTGTCACCTCTGACACGCGTGTCATAGGTTCGCCATCACTGGGTTAGAAGCTGCCACTAATAAAACATTTTTTGGATTATAGAATGGATTAGAGGCAGTTTATAAATCACACAACACAACTTATCTCATTCCTTTCTAAACTCGGTACAGTAGTGTGTTGTACCAAGTAGTGTGTCATAATAATTATAGACCATTGTGTTTATTGAAAGGAAGATAAGTTAGTTTTATTATTGTTGTTCATTCTTTCATTCAATCAAGAAATATTTGTTGACTATCTATGATGAGCCAGGCCCTGTGTTAGCCAGTAGAGAGCAGGGACAAATTCCTGCTATGGTTGGATTTTTGCCCTTACCAGTATAAATAGTAGCAATTTAAAAGCTAACTATATGAGTTCATACATTCAGATGCTTGGGCACTAGAGAAAACTGAGTCACAGAATATTAGTAACAATTAATGCTCATTAAGCCCTTACTTTGCGCATTACTCCATTTAATCCTCCCAAAAGGTTATTGGGATAGAGGCAGAGTTACTATCCCAGTTTTGTAGAGGTTGAAACTGACTCAGAGAAGAGTGTTTCAAAGGTCACCTAATCAGTAGCCGTGGAACTTGGATTTTAATCCAGAGCACCTACCATGCCAAACTGCATTAAAATAATACCAATGCCTTTATTTCTGAATTCCCTAACTTGTAAAAAATTTTTTCACTTTTCATATATATATATAATAGAAACATCAATAACGAGAGAGAGTCATTGGCTGCCTCCTGCACGTCCCCTACTGGGGATCAAGCCCACAACCTGGTCATGTGTCCTTGACCGGTATGGAACCTGGGACCCCTCGATCCGCAGGCCGATGCTCTATCCACTGAGCCAAACCGGCTAGGGCTTCACTTTTCTAAAAGTGGTAGGTGCATAATTTTTAATGTCATAATGCTATTTTAATTCATCTTTGACCACATGTATTGACAGCTCCCACGCCTACTCCAACCCCAGGCTTCTTTTTGGTTTTACAGTGACCAATTCTGAAGTCTAAGAAGGATGGGTAAAGAGGAATGAAAACTTAATTTTATTGACATTTTACTGTATACCAACCAGTTATCAAGCTTAACATGCATTAAAAAAAAAAAGTGCTAAGTGACTGTAGCATGTAGATGGGAAAGAAAACACAACCACCAACCTCATTAATAAAAGTAATCATGAATTCAAATATTTATGGGGCATTTACAATATGCCAGGCCCAGGAAAAAATTGGTTCCTAATCTGGGGGATCTCACCATCCAGTGGGAGACACGAAGCAGATGTTTCTCCTGGCAACACACTCTGATAAGGGAAGCCCACCGGAGAGGGCCATCTCACTTAAGATGATGAGTGAGGGTGGGAGGAGTTCTAGAAAGAGTCAAACATTGGAGAAATTACTCAGATGCAGAAGAGGGTAAAGGTTCCATCAAGAGAATGCACCCTGTGCAGTGGTTCAAAGTCTAAAAGACTTTCAGGAATTCCTTGGGCTGCAATCCTTCTGCCTAACAGAGGGCAGGCTGGGTGTGTGTGGAGGAGTGGCCAGAGAGGCTGGCCAACAGGTCCGCAGGAAGGACCCTGTTTTCATTGCAGTCCGTTTTGGACATTTTCTCCATTTTAACCATGACTTTCCCCAGGATTGCACTTGGGAATATGTTTCCATATGCGCCAGGCATTCTAAAGGGCTTCCCTTGCGTTTCTGCGTATTTACAATGTTGGTTACAGCCGGGCTGGCCCAATGGAAACACCGGGTGTCGGAGTCCTATCATCTTCATATTCCCTGAGTCATTTATTGATGCGGTTACTTACGCGTTTACCCAGGAAAACCAAATCCGTTTCCCACTTCGTCGGTTCTACAGCTTCAAATGTCAGTATGTTTAGGTAACAATCCAAGAGGTAGAGGCACTGTCGTGAGACAGGGCTGCAGACCACTTACTTCAGCGAGACCGTTTCAAACCCTCTACTTCCTTTCCAGCCTGTCTCCAGTTGTGCTGAAAAAGAGGAAAGAAGTCGCCTCTGCGTGTGCCCAGGTGGAGGGTGCAGAGTGCCGCTTGGTGTTTCAGCACGAACAGGGTGGGGCAGCTGGGAAGGGGCAGGAGTCCCCGGGAGAGGGAACACCTCCCCGCCGCCCCACTGGCCTCTCCAGCCCACTGCACCCCCTGCCCCTCTCTCTCTCCAGGGACCTCCCAAGAGGGAGAGCCAGTGAGTCCCTTTGAGTGTGTTAAAGAGTTGAAAGAACCTGTGCCCCACATAAAGCAGAACATCCACTCGCTTAGCTGGTCTCACTCCTCCTCTTCCTCCAACTCCTGCTGAAAAGCAGCGGTGATGGGTGAGGAGTGCGTTCTCAAGAGCTTGGAGAGCTCTGGGAATCACTGCTGCTTCCCTCGGCCCCACAGTTTCACAACCTCTTCTCAAGGGCAGGCCCTCCCTCTCGCTCTCTTTTTTTCCCCTCCTTCCACCTGACAGGGACCATAAATAACCGAGGCTCCCGGTGTCCCGGCTGAGAACAAAGTTGAAAGTTTGCCGGGAGCTCCCCGCCACTCCCCGCTGGGCCGCTTCTTTGTTTTCTTCTGTTTTTCCTCTACCTGGGTTGGCCGGCTCCTCATCCACGTGGGAGAAGAGTCACCTCCTAATTAAATGCAGCACCTCGCTCCTGGCTCTCCCTCGGTTTAAGGCTGTCTCGGTTACCCGGTTAGGCACGGAGCACTGGTATCAAATTACCGAAAGTCTACACTGGAGCTGCCCTCATATTTACATACAAATAACTCAGGGCTCGCATTTATGTCACCATTCGGTCCTGCTAGAGGCTTGCCAGAGGAGTTTTTAATCCAATCAGAAGGCGCTTTAAAAGGATGTCTGCGGAGTAATCAAAAGGATCTTAATCTCAATTAAGAGTAGCCAGGTTTTGTTGTTCTTTTTTTTTTTCTGTCTGAAATATTGAAAACCTTTGAGCTCTGATGAGTAGGAGAAGATGTGTAATTCCTCCATTGCCTACGAGGAGACGGAGATGCTGAGAGGAACTCAGCGGCGGTGGTGAAGACGGTGGCTACACCCCAGGGACTGGTTTGTTTGGGCTGATTTGGAGGTAGATTCTAAATCACTGGTTAAGGAATTCCTGGAAACCTCAGGAAACATCTGATCCGCCCCATCCTGGTGAACATGGCTTGGCGACAGAGTAAGATCTTTAAGTTGTACTTGGTGTGCACTGTTTTTTTGTCTCATTTGTGGTGATTGTGGAAAATTAGCCCAGCTGTAAATAGTTACTTAAAATAATCTCTTGGTCCTGGGTCGCAGAAGGAAGTTGATCTGTTTAGTTTTTACATTTGGGGAAAGAAAAAAAAAAACACAACAGTCGTCGACAGTGTATTTTTAGACTTGATTGGTAGTTTAAAAAGATGAGCTCTTGTGGTTTCCTGAGTTTAAATGAATGGAAAGTATAAATGGTACTGAGAAAGGAATTGGAAAATATCGCTGGAGCGGATGAATCACTTTACCTTTGAGAAAACATAACACACGCTTTTTAAATCTCACGGGGCCAGCCAAGTTTGTGTCCAGAAAGAAAATGAGAGTCGTAAAAAGGAGACAGAGTTTGCCTGTTTGCGGAAGGAACTCTGCCACGGCCTGTGCTACATTTTGCGAGGATGGGAAACGTCCCAGGGGGCAAAAGCCTCTGGAAAACCTGCCCTGTCACTCTTGGAATGTGGTTTTTCCGCGTGAGGTCATGTTATGCATATGTAGCTGGGCCAAGTATTTTATGCGATTAACTCTTTGTATTGATGACTAAAGAACAGTTTCTATGGTCCCTTTCCAAACCGCTGGAACTCCCATTGGATCTCTACTTTCCAAGTAGGGTTCAGGCCTGGGGGCCGCTGGGCCGGGTTGTTCATTTGATCCATTTAGAAACAGTTGCAAATCGGTGGGATTCAAAGTTCCCCAATGGAGCAGTTATCCTTCAGATTAAGTAACTTGCTGGTTTTTTGCATAAGCCCCAAACCGAAATCCTGGGTGTGAGAAGACTATTTAACAAAACTCCCTTCCCATGTATAATTTCCAGAGCAGTAAGGAAGAGGTGGTTTTTATTTTGCAACAATGTCCATTCAAACAAGCTGCCCTCATCACAGGAAAACTAATTGACATTAAAAAAAAAAAAAAACCCCTTCTTTCTACTTAGGCCTAACGGGGGGGAGAGATTTTTTTAAAATGGGTGCTTAACACCAGGTGCTTTTTCTGCTACTTAAATTCACTCTTGAAATTATGAACTAACCTCTGCCCATACTTTTTCCTGCTACACGGCAGCTACAAATACTACCCAGGGGACAGGAGAAGAGGACAGAGAGAATGGGTGACTTGCTGATGACCAAAGGAGCAGGTTTCTCCACAACAGACACATTTTCAAAGGGAAGCTTCTGATTGTGGCTTGCTTTGTCCATCCGCAGGCGAAGATGCGCTGACGGGGGACACTGACAAGTACCTGGGGCCACAGGACCTCAAGGAGCTGGGCGATGATTCTCTGCCTGCCGAGGGCTACATGGGCTTTAGTCTTGGGGCCCGTTCTGCCAGGTATTTTGTTGTTGCTGTTGTTGTTTTTCAGAGGTAATTTGAAACAGCCATGATTTGTCATAAACCAAAATCATTTTCCATTTTCACCATTATCCCCAAGTAGGCTCTTTGGATGAGGATGTGAATTTGGTGAAATGTTCGCTACTCCATTGTATGTGCTCCGCTATTTTCTTTCATGGTTTTCAGTCCTTAATTGTCTGTGATTGAACGTGTTAATTGTTCTTTTTCTCCCCCCACCTTGCAGTCATGCTTCAAGCATACTAGCAAAAGGGCTCACGGACAAAACTGGGAGAACCGATCTGGGTTATATGTTTCAAAATTAAATTTTATTCTAATTGAAAGAAAAATCTTATTTTCCAATAAATAAGAAATGTTTGTATTGGTTGTTCACTATTCTCTATTTATTATTGAAAGAAAAATTCATGTTTGAGAATATATATGTATAAATAATTATTTATTAGACTTGCCTACCAAGTGTTTGGAGTATCTCTTCTAAAGCTTTCCCATTAGTTTGTTTACAAGGGACATGTCAGGAGTGAAACAGTGACTTAGCAAGCCAGGAATAGTGGCAACTTCAATCCTTACAACCAAAGCGTAAAACTTTGGTATGTGGAAAACCTTGGCTCAAACTTATCTGACAATGGTTGAAAGAAATAGAACCTTGTCCAGAATTTGGGGACTTCTTTTCCGTGGTTGGATTAACAGCTTGTTTGCTGACAGTCAAGTTATGTGAAAGCTAATAATTAAACCATCTGAGCCAGAGCCCTGGGGACATTTTCCTATAGTTTAAGTATCTGTTGTAAAAAGTTTCATTGTCTAATAGTAAATGGCACTTCCCACTAAGTAAACCTAAGAGTTAATTCTCAGTGTCCTGGATGTGGCCAGTTTAGATACTGAATTGATGGTTTTTTGAGTTAATCTTTTTGTTTTTTAACAGAATTTGGAATCTCATGTAACTTAGAATTTTTGCCTTATAAATATATATATCTATAGATCTATATCTAAAGGCCTTAAAGTCTTCTTGTAGCAGCTGTCATTAACAAGAAGGGCAAATAACCTTTAATATTTCATGTAACCACAGATAATAACAAATTATAACTAAAATGTGTAGCATCTTAAAGGATCTCAAGGGAAAATTCTATTTAGAGATTTAATAGGCTTTGTAATCCAACAACCCGCTGATTCTCTTCCTGAGATAGTATATTAAAGGTAACATTTTATTAATCACTCATTTGCATATAGAAAATTGTAGCAGCTGACATCCAATGAGTGATGAAACCAGAATATTGTCTCATAATTTTTTTTCCCAAGTTGTGAGGCTTCCACACTTCTGGTTTTTATTGTACCATTATTATTATTTGTTGCTGTTATATGTAACTCATTTTTTTTACATTGGCAACTCATGTTATGCTCAGAGGCAAATATAAAAATAAATCATAAAGCCAATATGTTTTAAGGTATTCTTAGAGTATTGCCAAGTATAATATTCTGAGTGTAACATTTAAAAAGAAATACATTAAATGTGTACCTCATTCAACCATAACATTTTTTTCTTTTTTTCCCTGTCTGATTTTTTTTTTTTTTTGCTTCCTTCTTCTCCTGTGTTTTTGTAAAAATACTTTAAAATAGTCCCAAGATCAGGTAAGAAATGGCACTTTCCAGTGTCCCCTGCCCTTCCCTGGCTCATTTTCTCATTTTTGTTTTCCTCAGCATCGTGCCGTGCTGTGCTGTGCTGTGTTGTTCTGCCATGCGCTTTTCTGTTCTGCTCAGCTTTAGCAAATCAGTTTTGTGATTCTGAGGAAATGAGCAAATAGCTAAATGTATGATAAGAAATGTTACTCATGCAATATTGAATATTTAAGGAATTTCTTTCACTTAACAAGGTTTGTATAGTGCATGAAGTAACTGGAGAAATTTCCCTGGACTTAAAGAAAACATCTTAAAGAGCTGTTTGTCTGCTGGTTGCATTTTATTTGAATTGTGCTAAGCACATTGGCATAATTTTAAGAATCCTCAGGCATGTGGTTTCCTAACACTTCCTGTATTTAACACATAGGGTATACTGATGGCTACAAATAATATAGTTGACCTTAGTTAAAAAACAATTTAATGCTTTCCAGATCCCCATGCAAATAATGTCTAATTTTAGTAGCTGAAATTATTTCGATGTATTAAGGATTCCCAGTGAAGCTTGATGGATTTAATTGGCTCCATCTGCCTAATATAAGTTGGTCTGGAACAGTTCAGACTAAGAACTTTAGACAATAAAACGGAGACATCGTTAGGCCTTTCTGTTGATAGCTCCCAGTTCGGGGCCCTGTCCTGTAGTTGGCATGCCTACATAAGTTAAAGAGGATGCTTAAAATGTATCAACCCATCTTAGATGTAATTAAAAGCTGAAATTAAAATAAATATGTAACTATTTCTTTAAAAAGTTAAGTCTTTGTCCACATCTACAGTAAAACTGTTCTCAGGAATCACCAATATTAACATACACCGGAGGGACCATAACTTAAAGAAATGAGTGTCTGAAAAAAAAAGAAAGAAAGAAATGAGTATCTAAGGGGGCAAGTGAGTTTCTCAAATCACATCCCTGCGGCAAAATAGAGCCTTGCTGTGAGTACTGAGAAGTTGCACTGTAGCCCCTAGTGGCGCGGCTCTTTAGATGACAACTAGTTAAAATGAAATAAGACCTAAAATGCAGTTCTTCAGTCACCAGCCACACTCCAGGTGCTCGGCGGCCACGTGTGGCCAGTGGACACTGTGTTGGACAGCTCGGGTTGAGAACACATCCTTCATTGGGAGAAGTTCTGTTGGACAGTTGAGTTAGAGAGTAGAAAGAGAGTTCCTGCTTTTAGGAAGTTTATATAATGTACTTGAGAGAATGGAAGGGCACTAAAAACAGGAATCACAGAAGGAAATGTTTGCAACTGAAATGGGGGGTGGGAGAAAGAGTTATGAATTATGGGGGTACAGAAGGCCCAAGTGTTCGAGGTCACATGGTTTACTAGGTAAGCTCCTCTGTGCAGGGATAATGCTTACTTTTTTCTCCTTCTATATCCTGTTATTAATATTTTGGCTAGCTCATAATAGCCACTTAGCAAATATTTGCTGAATACACTAAGTAATGACTGTACAGTAATAGTCATTCTGGAGTTCTAGATCCCTCTAAGATTCTGGTGAAAGTGAAGGCTCTGATCCTAGAAGAATGTACCTCCTCATTTCTGTAGACACTTCCAATAATTCAGGGGCCTCTGTGTATTGATATAAAAATACTCACTTTGAGGTAATCTTTAGTAAGTGCAGAGGGGGAAAGAAGTCGTTTTGTGCAAAGCAAGGAGTCATTCCTTATTCACCTCTCCTTTGCTCTTTTCCGTGCCTAGTACACACAAGGCCAAGGCCAGAGTCTGACTGAATCTACTGGTAAAGATTCAAGCAGCCACATTTACATTCAGACCGTTTATTAGTTACATAGGCAGCGACAGGAGCCAACTGCCATGGTCCTTGTCTGCCACACTAGCTGAGGAGCCAGTCCTAGACTGCAGCTAAATGGCTTCGTGTTCTGCCACTCTCTTCCAAGGAGGATGGGCAGGAAGCCTCAGGAGGCAATGAAGAGCTGCCTGGTCACGGCCCACTGTGGCAGGTGAGAGGGAGGCCTGTGGGAGATGCCTGACGCAGCTCCCCACCTCCATCCTCTGTGTTCCTGTAGCATCAAAGGTGTCCTGCCAAGGCTCAGACCACCTGCCTGTCCTATGTGGATACGTGCAGGGTTACCGGGGTCCCTTCTCTATTGCTTTTTTAAAGATTGAGTTATAATTGACAATTAACATTATATTAGCTTCAGATGTACAGTATAATGATTCAATATGTGTATATATTGCAAAATGATTATCACAGCCCTAGCCGGCTTGGCTCAGTGGATAAAGCGTCAGCCTGCGGACTGAAGGGTCCCAGCTTCGCTTCCGGTTAAGGGCACATGCCTTGGTTGCGGGCTCGATCCCCAGTGGAGGGTGTGCAGGAGGCAGTCGATCAATGATTCCCTCTTGTCATTGATGTTTCTATCTCTCGCTCCTTCTCCCTTCCTCTCTGAAATCAATAAAGAAATATATATCTTAAAAAAATGATTATCACAATAATTCTAGTTAACATCCATCACCACACATAGTTACAATTTTTCTTTCTTGTGATGAGAACTTTTAAGATCTGCTCTCTTGGCGACTTTCAAATATATAATACAGCATTATTAACTATAATCGCCATGCTGCACATTACACCCCCAGGACTTATTTATTTTATAACTGGAATTTTGTACCTTCTGACCACCTTCAACCGTTTCGCCCATTCCCGAACCCCTTGTCAGTTTTTAGTTTAGAGGTCAATGTGGAGAGTGGCATTTGAGGACATAAGAAAGCTTGCACTCTGGGAAGTTCAGGGGCTGTGTAGAGGATTTGAAAGCAGATGGAAAGGAGAAGGTAGAAGGAGCAAGTAAGAAAAGGAAATAAAAAAGTGAGCTCACCTGGAATTGAAATTATCAAGGCCAGAAAGATGGAGAAGAAAACCATGTAAGATGATTCATAACACTACTTACTTCCTTCTTGTTGCTTTCCCTGAGTAGCAACCATAAACCTTTCGATAATTTAACCCTATATCTAGCTCCCAAGACACATAAACAGAACTATTTACAGCAGGCACAATTTCGTTGAATAATGCAAGCTAAACAGATATGGACCAGAAAGAGAGGAGACTAACATAAGGTCTTACTATAGAAAAATCTCTCAGGTTATCAAATTATCTGGAATGATCTGGTTTTTCTCAAGTGTCATGTTGGTTTGACTGTCACAGTGCAACATCCAAAGTTTTCATGCATTTCATCTTCTCACAGATTTAACACCAGTTGGCCAAATTTTAAACAAAACCTGATCATGAGATTGTCCAAGCTTAAGAGATTTCCTCAAATATGAGGGATTTTATTTTTGACCATGTGTTTTCAAGAACAACTTTGGTTGATATTTTTAGCCATCTTGCCTGTTTTTAAAGTTGCATGCATTAATTTTTTTTTTATTCATCTCATCATCATCTACCACTCTTGAATGGTTAACTGTAAATACAACAGCCTCCGCTCCTTCAGTTCGGATAGGTCTTACACCTTGAACAGAAGCTCCTATGCCCGGGACAGCATGATGATCGAAGAACTCCTGGTGCCATCCAAAGAGCAGGTAGGCATTCTTTTTTTAAAAAAATATTCTTTGATTTGTTAAACTTCCATTTGTATGTTTGAATCAAACTCTTTGTCCCATGACAAGAACTATATTTCTGCATGTTTGATTTTGCATTTGTAAATCTCTCTGTGTTGCCACTTAAAGAAAAAAAATTATCAGCCCGGCTGGTGTTGCTCTGTGGTTGAGCGTCGATCTGGGTTGCAGGCTCAATCCCCAGTGTGGGGTGTGCAGGAGGCAGCTGATCAATGATTCTCTCTCTCATCATTGATATTTCTCTCTCTCTCTCCCTCTTCCTCCCTCTTTGAAATCAATAAAAATATATTTTTAAAAAATAAATTGTGCCATAAATGGAAATAACCCTCTCTTCCTCAGTGAGTCCCTAAAAATCTCACAGAGAAAAACTAATAAAGTCCTACGCAAGGCATGGCTCTGTTTTCTCATTTCTAGGTCTAATCTAGTTTAATTTTTAAAAAGAGTTCATAATAATAATTGTTAGCTAAAGTTATGTACATTATCCACATGAATGTTTGATTTTCCTAAACAAACTTTTTGTTAATCCTCACCTGAGGAGATTTTTTCCATTGATTTTTTTTTTTTTAGAGTTGAAGGGGGGAGAAAGGGAGAGAAAGAGAGAGAAATAGCGATGTGAGAGAGACACATTGATTGGTTACCTCCCGCAAGTACCTTGACCAGGGCTGGGGATCAAACCTGCAACCCAGATATGTGCCCTTGACCGGAAATCCAACCAGAGACTCTTGGGCGCATTGGCCAATGCTCTAATCACTGAGCAATGCTGGCCAGGGCTTCCTAAACAAAATTTGTATCATGTTGGAATTCGCTACAATTGTTCTTAGCAAGTAAAGATTAGATTGGTTCATGTTTTTGATTCCTTAGTTTCAAAGGTGTGTAATGGGCCATCTCAAGATGTGATAGTATTTTGCTTTCTACCAGAATCTCCACTAGGTTCACTTGGTGTTTGGGTGTTTCAATAATTGTGGTTGAATAGATAATTGGTTTAATACAAGAAGTCCCAGCAATGTAGTTCTGCTGCATATGGGCTCAGGATGGTTCATTATTCTAGAAACACACAATACCTAATTGTAAATTTGCATTCCTGAGTTGATGATGGATGAAACTGTTTGAAACATAAAGTTAATTTTGAAGGTGTCTTATAATATTGAACAATGTAGATGATTGGTGAAATGATGCTGGACTTACTCACTGCACAATGAAGGTGAATTTGAGCAGATGAATTAGATGATAAGCAGAGAGTCAGAACTTCAGGACTCCCACTTGTCTGGAGATGCTGATTTCCAGACACACAGATGTACATTGTGCTTCACAAGGATCTACAATAAACATTTTATTATTCTACACTCTCTAGAACATTCTTAGCTTCCAGGCCTTACAAGGAGAATACAGTGGCTATTCAGTTTTGTTTAGGCAAAAACACCCTTTGTGGAATGATTACAGGTACCATAGTTTGTCATGGTTTACGTGGGTGTTAACACTAAAAAATCACTTGTCTCAACTAATGAAGCTAAGGTCTTTGGTGTAAGGTGTTGTCCTGTTGTTGGTTGAGAAATTCTGAGGATCTCTTTGCTTGGTTGGCTGTGGTCATTATTTTAGTCAGATCATCCTGATCTCTTGATGTTCCCAATTGAAATGAGATGTTCATGGGTACATTGATAATAATTACAAGTGTAAAAATGCCTGTTATTCTCCATATCCTAAAGAAACCACACAAAGCTTATAAAATTGCAGGTGAAAATATATTCGTTGTGTATCAGTGACATTTTTCTCTTGTGTCAAACCTGTCTAGTTCTATACTGGAATAGCAAAATCCATGATTAAACTAATTATGGTTTATATTTCTGAATGTGTATTGGCTTTGTGGCAAGGACCTGAAATTGGGATCACGATCACCATGACCTCACCATATTGCCACTACCACCACCATCCATCACTGCCACCATCACTTCCACCACCACCCTCACCTCCACCACTGTGGGATCACGATCACCATGACCTCACCATATTGCCACTGCCACCATCACTTCCACCACCACCTCTGCCACCACCACCACCCTCACCTCCACCACTATTACCACCATAGTTACATTACCTCCCATGTTCAGCACAGCAACCGTAAAGTAAAATACTATAAATATTTGCAGTGTTGCAAGGTTACAGACCGACTTCTGAGGGTCCTCACACCATTCCCTGTTAGCTTTTACCCAGACCTACTTACTCAAGTGGAATGAAAGGGCAGCATTTTCTCAGAATGAAGGATTTGTGAAAAATAAAGGGTAAAGAGAAGTTTTGAGATAAAACTGATGTCCTTTTGCTCATTTTGTTGCTGTTTCAATTTCTGTGGATGTCACGACACTCCTGTAGAACAGTCAGGGGAATGGAAGGCTTAGGACATCTTGAAACCTTTACAAAGGAGTCTGAAGCTGATAACTGCAGGAGCAGGAAGTTGCTTTCTTTAATGACCACAGAGAATCCCATGGTCTGGCAAGCATGCCTTGTGGAAAGAACATGTTTAATGAACATATAACCTTACTCCTGGCCACACTTTCATGATAATTCCCCAGAGATTTGGGGGAAAAAAGTGTGGAAGGCATAAAAACATTGTAGTGACAGTTGGGGGCATTTGAAAATTTACTGGCTATACTGTTAGGAAATAGTTAATTTTTTAGCAGCTATAACAGTATTGCAGCTCTACAGGGGACTATCTCTATTCCATGCAGGGGTATGCATTGCTGAAGTTTTCAGGAATGAAGTAATTATTAAGTCAGCTATTTATTTTCAAGTAGTTCAGCAGAAAAAAAAGTGTATGTGTGTGAAGAGAGAGAAAATAAAAGCTAGTGCAGCAAAAATGTAATTGTTTAATTAACCTAGGTGGAGTGTATATGGGTATTTCTTATACTGTTTTTTCAACTTTCTTATTTGTATGAACACCTTCAAAATAAAAAACTTGGAAGAAAGGGGAAAACAAATTCTGAAAGAGGTGTATTAACCTATTTAGTCCCAAGTGTCTCATTCATTATAGAAGAAAGAGAAAAGGCTAATTCTTCAAAAGAGAAGTTTCCAGAGGGAGGAGTCCAGTTACACTGTGCACGACTAGTGAGAAGCATTTACCTGAGCAGCTCATTTACACGCTTTCTATTAAAATTTAAGTACAAGAAGTATTAGTTTATGTCTATCATGCCTCTCAATCTAGATTTATAAACTTCAAAGCGGAGTTTCTCCACGGTATTGATTTTGTCTGAAAGCATGCAAGAGGTCTTCAATCCTTAGAATTCCTAAAGCAATGTTACTTGACTTACTGTCAGATTTAGAACTGCCCTGTCATTGCCCAAAGTTGCTTTGACAAGGTAAGGCGGAAAATGAATAAAAATGAACTCTCCGCACACTTTTTTCAGCATGAGTAGACCTCACCCCCACAACGCCTAGTTTATTTTCCTGCTGCTGCAGATTAAGCAGTTTGCACATTAACCACAGTTACAGGACAGTTGAGACCCAGGGTAATCCCCACAGGCCCGCCACCTGTGTGGCTGGAGGCAGGTGTGGAGGCCAGCACTGGGGAGGAGAGTTGGGAGAAGCAAGTTGTCCTCCCTCCTTGCTGGGCCTTCATTGGGATTAGTCTGTAAACCACTCGGTCCTCCCTCCACCCCAGTCAAGAATGGACTCTTTTTTTTTTCTTTCACCTTTTAATCAAGAACCACCTTTCGATATGTTTCTGAAAATTATATGCAAATAAACCACATCTTGCATTTGTCAGAAGATGGTATTTAAAGCAGTGACTCTCAGCCCTGACCACTGGTGAGAATCACCCAATAAACTTTTATTTATTTATTTATTTATTTATTTTAAATATGTCTTTATTGATTTCAGAGAGGAAGGAAGAGGGAGAGCCAGGTAGAAACATCAATAATGAGAGAGAATCATTGATCAGCTGCCCCCTGCATGCCCCACACTGGCAATCGAGCCCACAAACCGGGCATGTGCCTGACTGGGAATTGAACCATGACCTCCTGGTTCATAGGTCAGTGCTCAACCACTGAGCCATGCTGACTGGGCACCCAAAGAACTTTTAAAAAAACGATAGCTAAGTTCAGATTCAATGGATCTGGGTGGGGCCTGGGCCTCGCATTTTTCAATGCACCCAGAATTGAAAAGCACCGGTTCCTGGTGAGAGCACACATTGGAACCGTCTGTGGCTGCTTGGAAAACAAGATGCCGACAGAATCGGAATCTCCCTGACGGGATCCCTGGGCATGTGTGTGTTTCTAACGCTCCACGGGCTATTCTGGAATGCGTCTCTAGGTAGGAATCACTGATTTAGAGCACTCTGCCTCGCATCTTCTTGTATATGACCAGTCAACATCTAATGTATTTGTTTTATAAGCTCAGAGCTGTGCATGTCAGGTAGTCTTAGAGCAAGCATTCTTGGAAGCATTCCTTTCCAAATAGGTGGTAATAAGGAAAAGAGATGACTCGAAGCTGAAGCCCAGTGTCCTGACATAATTATGGGAGGCACTATCTGGTGCTGCAGTCTATGATCCAGGTCAGCCAGGCCTCATCACCTCAGTGGAGGACTAGTCATTAGAGGCCATAAGCGTCAGGAGATATGGTGGCGATGCTTATGGTGAGGATGGTGAAAACAGCTAATTTTGAGCTCCTGTTACACGCCAGGCACTATTCTAAGTTTTACCAGCATTAACTCCTATACCCTTCTCAAAAGTCCTATGAGATAATTTCTTGGCTCCATTGAAAAGATGAAGAAACTGAAGTGCACAGGCAGATGCCGTGACTTACCCCAGGGGACACAGCTGGTAAATGGCAGACAGCCACTGGCCATCTGGCCCCAGGTTGCCTCCTTTTAATACTAATCCACAATTACACTGCACATCTGCATTGCTTAGTGTGAGGGAGTGAGAAGGAAGCCAGCAGAGAGCCCAGCCTTGACTTTCCACCCCCCAGGATCTCAT